GGGGTGTAAACTATATTAACAATAAGTATTGCATAAGTAGTTGGCCGGTTACCAAATTGTCTCTAGCCGCTAGTATTTTTTTTCCGGTATTTCGGAAATTTTTAGTGACAGCACGGTATTTAAAATTGCGTCTAGTATATGGGGCAATAGGCCAAAGAGTACTTACAGGAGAAAAATAAGCTCAACGTCTGTAATATAGGACTTATATACATCCCTGTGAAAGCCTTCGAGGTTAAATGGCGTGGTATTCATTATGTGAAACGTAATACATACAATCATACATAACATCACGCCTTTTATCCCCGAAGGGCAGAGGTGCATGTTATGCCACTGTACCTACAATATAACCAACCCACTTTTCACTATTTACATATATTATGAGACTCATAATATGAGTCCCATGTAATAGGGGGTGAGCCTATTGCTATATACCGGGCACAATTCCAGACTTCGTGCTACTTCTGAGAATTTAAAAAATACCAAGTAAGTAATACTTTGCCCGACCCGGGAATCGAACCGAGACCCCTTGCCCGGCAGTCGCACTTGCGATCACTAAGCTAACGAGGCAGCCATTATGTCAAAGTAATTTAACTAGCTAGATTCTTTCACCATACATTGTATTCGTCTTAGTTTTAGTTACAAAGGAATAAGAAAATCTCTTTACTTAGGTATATATATTTATTATTATTATTTTTCTTTCTTTCCCTAAACGATGTATTTGTTTGGACTGTGAGTATTTTTTTTAATTGAATAATGTGAAATCTATCCGTGAATACCTGTAATTGGCTTTCTGGTGTTATTATGTTATCTGTTTGTTTGCTATGTGTAGCTGTTGGTTTTCCAATCCATAAATAAATAAATAAATATTATTGTAGGTATTCAATTTAGGCATCAAAAGCAAAAAACCCATGATCTTCCTGCATGGTAAACATGGAGTCTTATACGTAACAAATACGTAAACTAATTGTTTAGTAATCTGTGGTATAAATACGTCTTAACCGTCCGGGAAACCAATGAGAAATTGGTATAACCATGAGGTACCTATTTACGTATCACTGAGTAATATTAATAAATAGTTGTCCTTATACTGAACTAACTAAACTTATTATTTACGCCAGTTGACCTTATTGAGAATTTTCCCGATTAAGATGAACACACACTTATGCGAGATGAACGCGTCGAAAATTTCAGACTTCAGATTTGGACTATTCAATGTGGGGAAGTGTGCGAGGTATCATTAGATTTCATGTTATACACAATTCTAAAATTCGTTTCGTTCGGCTCGAATAGTTTAGTTGCTAATTCAAATTCATAGGTAAGCAACCAGTAGGCTGCAAAGGCGTGCGGTCCGTGTATAGTAATATGTGAGTGTATATTTATGTTAGCCGTTTTTTAACAAACTTTTATTATATTATTGAATCTTAATAAACACGTTTTTACATTTTATGTATGTTATATATTCACGATATTTATAAGGTAGGCGAAGCCTTTTCGCCTATATGGACTGCACGCCACTGGTAGCCTGTTGAGATAGCAAAAAAATATTCACCTTGGCGCATTATTTTTTTTACAAATTAAGATGTTCTCCTACAAGTCATGTCGTGAGAGTGCCTTTAAATTAAAAACAAACATTATGATTAAATATTCAAACTTTGTTTCAGAACACTGAGTGTCAGGAGCTCATCGTGGGGATTCGAAATATAAAATATTTTGCTTGATTATTATCTGTCACTTTAAAAAACTTGAAAGCCATACAAACAGACAATAATTGTAGTTGCAGCTCGCATCTGACAAAATTTTTAAATTTCGAATTTGATCACTACATTTTGTTAATAGCTTATATTTTTCATGTCAGATCTTGTCAGATTTAACAAAATACAAATAAATAAATTGTATACAAATAACGTAGACCGTAATATTTTTGCTAGTCTCTCCTAAAATAATGTTAAAAATTATCTTGTTGCAAATTCGAAATTTTGGTAAGTTTTTAAAGACCACAGAGAACAAATAACAAAACGTACCTTGGTTACTTTAACCTACGATCCGTTGTAGAACTTGCGAAAGAAAAAAAAATCTCGTCCGCTAATGTCATTGACCGCTCCAATTACTTTGCAACAAAAATTACTAGAACAATTTTCTTTGTTTTTTTGCACAAATCTAAGATGACTTTCGATTTTTTATTATAACAGTTAAAAGCGGAACGGAATTTGGAAGGTCATTGATCTTTAAATTATTATACAAGAGATCAATAAAGTTATATTAGATTGAATGAATCATGGGACATATGATTATTAACTTGTTTTACAACATTAGCTTTGCTATTAGGAAAATAGCTCTTATTGCTTACGGTATAAAGGTAATATTTGTTTAAGTAAAGTAAAAAGTATAAACCTCATTTTTCGAAGTCGGTTTAAAATAAATCTTCATGAAGCACTAAAGATCTTGTAAAGCTGAAAAGTTTACTAACTGCTTCGTTGGTTAAGTGCTGTTGCTGAGAAAGAGGTTTTTTGAGATATTCCAGAGTTCATTATCAAAGTTTTAACATAGATCGAACGAAAAGAGATTTCAGCCCAGAGACAAGGTGACGAAAATATGAATGTGATTGGTTTATAATTAGTATTAATAATATTTTAATTACGGTTAAACATTATGTAATCACCCGGAGATACAGGTAATCAAAAACATCGTACAAAGTAGTTTCTGTGGAATCTCATCAGTCACCAGTTTTCGAATACGATTAACATAAAAACCTAATTAGGCATTTTTTATTATATAATTATAAATATTAGGTACCTACCTACGTTAAATAAATTTAAATAATGTCCTAGAACTAAAGATCTATTCACACGAAAGCACACGTCACTTTTTTGCAAATATGTATAAGAGCGCCTCCATACTACATAGTTTTTGCCAAGCGTCTGCGTTAGGTAAACGTATGCAAAGCGCAGACGCCGCGATTACTCGGCGCAGGCGTCATGATATCGCGGCGCGGCGTTTCCTGATTCCTCTGGAGTCAATTGAACGCTGTCCTAAAACGGTGCAAGACGTCGGGGGACATGTGGTGGATTCAATCGCATGCGAGCTTCCAGTGAAGTTCTCCCGATGGAAACCTTGTTCAATCCTGTCTTTCCAGTGAAGTGTTTCATAATATATTGTTTTGGACCATAAGAATAATATATAATATAATATAATAAAATAATATTTTATAATATTTACGATAAGAATTACTATTTAATCTTTACAAATTTGTATTCCTTATGATGTCAGCTTTATACTGGTATTTTTCAATTTGCTATAACAGTTGTAGATTGGTAAAAAATTAGCTTTAAGTCGGAGACGTACACGGCGCGTAAGCGCCCGCGTCGCGCGGGCGTTGGAGACGTGTTGCTAACGCGACGCGGGGCGTTAGAGTGGTTATTATATCTGTGGTTCACACGGTGCTACATATGTACTTCGATACCTAAGTAATCGATAGTACCTAACCTAGAATCTATTGCAGTATGACCTAGACCAAGAACGCCAGTAAGGGCCATGACTCAACGACCTAGATTTAGAATTGAAACATATGGCAAGCTGGTAGGTATAAAAGATATCTTACCTAATAATAATAAGTATTTAGTATACTTAGCATAGGTATACAATACAATATTTTTCATCATCATCATGAAAGTCGAAATAGGTACCTAATTTATTTTTGATTGAGTAAAATACCCGATTTATTTATTGTATCGACAATTAATGTAGATTAACATTAATTGTTAATCGAGATAGATTTATAGACAGGCAATAGGCATAAGTAGTTTAAAAAAGTTTTAGGTACATTGGTAGGTACTAGTAGGTTGGTATCTTTCTTTTTACAATAAACTAGCAGTCCGACCCGGCTTCGCATCGCACGGGGTAGACAATTATTTATTTTTGGAAATTTGGATTGTTGTAGTGACATAACTACAATAGTTGGACATATGCTACCGCGGAGTTTTTTGTAGACAGATGTTCTTCAATATTGTTGTACATAACATTATTTTGTTCTATCTCTAATAATTTCGGCAGCGCAATCGACAAAAGACATTTTAAGACTCATTTTTCTACACCTTCGGTTACATTGTTCAAATTTTACTAAGGATCCCTAATTTTTTTCAAAATGAAATATAGCCTATGCCAAATTGGAAGATTGTTGCATTCTATTGGTGAAAGATTTTTTTAAATCGGCCCATTACTTTTTGAGGTTATTCATTACAAACATACAAAAATAGGTACAAATCTTTTCTCTTTAGAATATTAGTATAGATATACCTACTTATTATAATTACCTATCATTTGACTTCAAAACACAGATTTTTATTTATAGTGAAAACCTGTACGAGATTTTTTTAATGTTCTAAAAATACAGCCTGTTTTTTTATCGCATTTGAGAATTCTACATGTCATTATCAGACCTAGACCTAGATAACAATAGAGGCTACAGGCTCGGTTCACTTAATAACAATGGGATTGATTTTATAAGCACTAAAAGCTTTGCCTAATTCTATGTGTGTTATACATCTATACTTACATAAATAAATTGATTCATGGTAGGAAAGTGAAAACTGCGTGCGTGATACCGAAACCAAAAATATGGTTTTTAGAATTTTTGTCTATTTGTCTGTATATATGTCCGGGATGAACTCAAAAAGCGCTGCATGGATTTACTTCAAACTTTGCATGAATATTACTAACAGGTTGGGTCAACACAGGCTACATATTATCATGTTATAACCTACGGGGGAGGAGCTGTGAATCACTATTCCACGGGGACGAAGTCGGGGGCTCAGCTAGTAGATATAAAAAAGAAGTAGATACCTATGGTGTGGAATACAAAATATATGCAAAACCACAATTGCCTCACCATAAGTCTAATATAACACACACAGTTCTGTCGTCAAAACAATACTACTACTGTTTTTAATATTTCTGTGGAGTCATACCATGTGAACCAAATTATTATTCCAAAACAGACTTACCTGCGGAATAGCTGCGCGTTCTTCCTGCCTTCCACGTGGAATATGCATCCCACCAACTTCAACAAGACCAGGCAATAAAGGACGAACACCATTTAAACTATGGAACGTATTCACCAATATCATGCTTACATTTCTGGCCAGCACGTCCAAATCCGGTATCTTAGTCCAGAACCTTCTCTCTATAATCGCGCGTTCCTTCACCTGGATCGCATATCTAAACCACAGCTTGAAATACAAATTCAATGCAGTATTCTCCAGTCTCTCCAGAAATGTCGCTATTGTACTGGTTCTCGAAGTTATTGTCGGTACATAGGACGGGTTATCAGGTAATCCGATCCGACTATACGACCATTGCAGTAAAGGACCAGACACTAGAGAAATTATTGGCGCATTCACACCGTACACATGAAGAAGTCCTAAAGCACAGTCGCTGTTAAAATTCTCAACTAAGACAACATCGTAGTTTTTCTGCAATGCTTCAGCGAGTGGTGGGAAGTTGACCAGTCCAGAACAAACCTTCAAGGCTAGGTCACTTAAAGGTTGGAAGGCAAGTATCTGTGTCATGAAGTTCTGCAAACCCAAGCCATTGATTATTTTATTCGGGTTATCAAACACTTGCAAGTTAATCCGTTCTTTTCGCACTTCAGCAATTTCTTCAAGACTGATATCTGTGTAGTTTGCGAGTGGTTCCGATTGGGGGAAGAATGAAGCCACAGTCACATGGTGTCCTCTTCTCGCTAACTCTTTCATTAGTGGTTCGAAGACTAAGAAGTGACTCTTTCCGACGTGCGGTAGAATCGCCAAAATGTTTGCGCACTGAACATCTTGTGTTGGAAGTATCGCGAATAATATTGCGAAGCTTGAAAACAGATACATGTTGCGGGACCTCTGATTAACACCGGCTGCCGAAGGGTACTGCGGGTTTCTACGACCGATATCAAAGTTTATTCATGCATGGCTACTCAACTGGTTTTTGTCTTCGAAATCTTCCGTAGGTAGGTACCTAAGCGATAAACGTTTTTTTCTATTAAAATCTCTATTGTTGTTGATTGTTAATCACTCACGTACGAATACGTGAGTGAGATTTGAAATATATGACTAAGGTATGGACACAAAGATGCCTATTTCGGTGTTGAATCACGACGATATTTATTAAAATGAAATGTTAAACTAGGAAGTTACATCATTTGAAACGAGTTCAAAAACCATATGATATGATCATGGCCTACCATTAATAAAATTAAAGCAATCGATTGATTAAATTAAGGGACTTAAGTAGCTACCTAAACAGGTTATTGTAAAACCACGAAATAATAATGTAAGCTTAGTTTTGGCTTATGATCTTCGAATACATGGATTAAGAATAAAATGAAGTTAAAGTACACTGAAACACAATAGATCAAACTTACCATCAGCTGGTCAGGTCCCCACTGTACAATCACTAACACAGTTTCTTATGGCTATCGACTAACTGCGAAAGTTATAGCGGAAGATTTCATACGGTCACCGCGCTTTCACAGATATTTCAATGTTATTTCCTAAGCAATAAAGCTCAAAATTCCTAAGCACCGTGTAACAAACAGTACGGAAGATAATTACACTCTTCTTACTTGCATGGTTCGACTTTATTGCTATTTTAATTAAGTGCATTTTACTGTAACATTGTGGAAGGATAGTGGACACGACCGTCATGTGGAGAACTTAAAAATAAAAAATCGTGTCACGTAAACACGCCTTTATTGTTGCCTATATATTACCTATAGATAGTAAAGTAATTAATAAATCATTATGTCTATCTGTCTGTATATTTTATGCAAGTTGTTCTGTGCGCTAAATGCGCATGCGTCCGATCCTGCACATGCTATCAAAGTGCGTTGACCGCGCTATGAATATTGAAGAGGTGAATGATAAATCACATTACATTATTTCAATTATTCATTACATAGTATCATTGTAGTGGCCGGCAAGTCAATATAATCTAATGTGTCAATAGGGTAGTGGCCAGTTAAATCTTATTAGTCCGTCAGTTAGATAATGAAAAAATATTAGACACGTATTTTTTTTCTCGTGTAAAGTTACAATACTTAAATAAAATGGAGTTAAGTTTAGGAGTGGGAGGTAGTTACGTCACAGTGTGCTATATTTTGTAGCACACTGCGACGTCATACAACATTTCAAATCAATATTTCGTCGAAAGCATTTAATTTTGTGAAAAAACCTGACGGACATGTAAATAAAATTACACTATTTTCATAGGAAACTACCCTATTTTCGTCATTGGATATTCGACTTTATACGTAAATGATAGAGTTGAAAATCTAATAAAAACCTAATCTAAAAAAGTGTAGGTTAGCCTGCTGCCCACTTTACCTACTGTAGTAGGTCTGTCCACTCCATATTCTGTTATTACTAGTACATAATACAATACGGTTATTCCTTATTCGCACTACTAAATCCTACTCAGTACTCGAAGAAAATAATAGCGTAGTGCGAGCTAGGCATTGACACAGATTAATTAATAGTTACTACGAGGTGCAATGGCTGGGCAACCCTCTGCTATGCGACGTGTAGCAAGTTCATTTTCCTATACAGATAACATGGATTGAACCAACTTATGGATCACAGTATTGTTCCGTTAGGAGTGATGGATCACACACACACTCATGCTAGGGCGTGAAAAATAAAAGGCTAGAATGAATGTTTTTTATAAACTACTAGCGACCTGCCCCGGCTTCGCACGGGTGCAATATGTATATACATACAAACCTTCCTTAAGAATCACTCTATCTATTAAAAAAAACCGCATCAAAATCCGTTGCGTAGTTTTAAAGATCTAAGCATACATACGGACATACAGCGAAAGCGACTTTGTTTTATACTATGTATATTGATTTATTAGATATCTCCAATTCAGTGCTCAAGTGACGAAATAGTTACCTAAGTTACTTTATCTACCTATTTTGAAATGAAGGGCTATTAAGGTTAGTTGAATACCTATCAACTGTTATCTGAATTGGTAAATAGGACATCGCATTATTAATAAAGAACTGTGAATTTTCCGATAGGAAATGTATCGTGGAGTAGGTACCTACATGTAGCTATATACCAGGGGTGGCCAACTTGATTAGACCTAAGATCGACTGTTTACTAACGAAATCCTGTGCGATCTACCAAGTACATACTTCTTGAAATTAAACTGCATAGTTTAGTACACAATCATGTATTTTTTATTGACCAGTCTTAGTGGTTTCTTTTCATATCACATGTGAGATCGTTTTCTTAAATCGATACGATCGACTATACTAACAGTCGCGATCGACTGGTCGATCGCGATCGACCGGTGGCCACCCCTGCTATATACTATCTCATCATCATCCACAGCCGGACGATGTCCACTGCTGGACAAATGCCTCCCCTTAGTCCTCCAAGCGAACGACAACCCGCCACCTACATCCACTGGCTCCCCGCAACTCTGGCGATGTCATCGGTCCACCTAGCGGGAGGCCTGCCTACGTTTCGTCTTCCGGTCGGTGGTCTCCACTCAAGAACTTTTCTGGCCCATCTGCTGTTAGTCCGTCGAGCGACGTGGCCTCCCCATTGCCACTTCAGTCTGCAGATTTTGCGAGCTACGTCGATAACTCTAGTTCTTTGACGAATTTTCATATATGTACTATCTATATCCAGTTAAATCTAGAATTCGCCACAAGTAAACGTGATTGCATACCTAGGTATGTACATAATAAAATAATTATGTATAACTGCTTCTAAGTTAGTGTGATACTTGTGATATGGACGGTGCTTGGACGTGGAACATCTCTTTACTACATTAGTATTACGTATCACACTATAAGTATTTTTTTATGGATTAAGAGGCAAATGAGCAATCAGTCTGCACCTGATGGTATCTAAGCTATCATCGCTGGCCAAGTTTGTTATACATCATTTTCATTTTGACGTTTTAAGGTTGTTTGCTCTGATTAAGTTCGCAGGGACTGTCCAGGGGGCTTTAGTTGCAACGCTAGCGCCCATTACATTTAGTTAATATTAATAGATATTTGATGAGATATTTCCATCGAAAACTTAATAGGTTTTGTCATTATTACTAGCCTAATACTGTTGAATGTAGTCAATACTTAGAGCCAACGTTCAGGCCTGTGTGGTGCCTTGTTTATTTGATTTGCTTCATCGATCTATACATATAATAAAATCGTAGGAAAGTAAAAACTGTACATTTAATATTTTTTCAAAAGAATACTTGGAGCGTGATCTACAATCGATACCAAAGCCAAAATGAGAGATTTTAGAGTTTGTCTGTATGTATGTTTGGGCTAAACACAAATAGAACAGAATAGATTTTCTTCAAATTTTGCATGAATATTAGTAAGGTCACTATATAGGCTACATATTATTCACCTACGGAATAGGCGCAGGGAATAACTATTCCACGAGGACCAAGTCGCGGGCACAGCTAATTAGTCGATAAAGAAATAAAAAGCAATATAATTAGTTTTTACTTTAATTATCAAAATACTGCGAAGTCTCAACTATACAACATTCCTTGTTCATCGGACACACGATATAGCCGCGGGCTAACAATAAATTAATTATGACTTATTGGAACGAAACACCAGTATTCGACGCTTCATGCCGCTATCAGCACAACGATCATTCTGGAACAATAGACAGAAATTAAATTAAGCGAAATTAGACTTTATCTATACTAGAATTAGAGTAAAGATTCTATTAGCTTAAGCTTACTTTACAAACGGCAATATAGGCTTTTTCTTTCAGTATTTCTACAGGATAGGGCCCTTCTCAAAAGAAACTTAATTTGACGCCGGTGAAGCCACAAGCGGAAAATGTAGTTAGTTTGTAATTATTTGGAAGGAGTTTTCAATTATTTGAATAAAATATATTTAACAGGCTAATAAATATATATTTCAATCTTGATGGAAGGCCGTCTGGATTTTTTTGGAGTGTTTTCTTCTTTGACCCTGCTACCTACGTAAGGGTAAGAACTATACATTTGTCACACCACTCTCTGTCTGCATTGACATTGAATCTCTGAGACTTTTTACTGTTTTTTTTTTACTTTTTTCATAGAGGAAGATTAGCGCTCGACGAGGTAAACGATTGCGAAATTGACATTGCCTTTCGTTTCTTTTTGGATCATAATATATGTATATCAGTATACTTATACATGCTCTTATTTATTTATTCTTTATTGAATTTTGTATTTATTATCTTGTGTTTGAATTTAGTCTTCTATGTTCGATTTTCAAACATTCAAACAAAGAAACTTCGAGATAACTGACCGTTCATTGAGATTGACCTCTAAAACAATTGTTGTCCTTGAAGATTCGGACAGAATGATAATTGGCGCATTCGTTAGTTCATTAGAACAATTGATGTTTGATCAAGAGCGAAGATGACGTACTAAACTAGACGTTTAATGTGATTAAAAGAGTCAAACTTTAAGATTACTTAAACGAGCAGACGGATCACCTGATGTAATAAGCAATCGGCGTCGCCTAACAACACCAAGTGCGTTACCGGCCTTTTGGGGCTTAGGAGTTTGAGGATCGTTGGGGATTCAGGGATTGGGGAGATTGGGGAAGGGAAGGGTAATTGGGCCTACGGTAACCTCACTCACACGACGAAACACAACGCAAGCGTTGCTTCACGTCGGTTTTCTGTGAGGCCGTCGTATCACTCCGGTCGAGCCGGCCCATTCATGTTGAGGCATGGCTATTATTTATTTCTTTTATTATAGTTAGGTATGTCGTTGAGAGAATTATAATCTTATTGCAACTGTTAACTTATAATTTTACTAACATTAAACTGTCAAACACCAAACGGTCACCGGTGACCGCAACCTATTGTTCTATAATTGTGTCTACAAAACCGGTACTCGACGAGTTAAAATACCAAGTTATAAATGATTATTCCAAATTAATGAAATCTTGTTAAGACTAAGTATGATCCAATATGCCTGCTACACATGAATTTATGGCAAACCCTAATCCCTAATAGGAGGTTAAGCCTAAAGTCCAATAGCAGACTCTCATGGGCTGTTAATTTTGCTGATCCAATAACTATTTGCAAAAAAGAAAAACTAAAATTAATAACTATGAAATAGTTCTTACCCATATAAATATAAGAAGAAAGATAACAAATAAAATGCAAGTTTGATCCAGCCTTCCCTCTGGCAGACTGTCAGTACATCAGCATTCATGATGCTAGTCGGGTCGTAGAGACCTGGCCCCGACATTACGGGCCTTGTATAGTATCTGAAATGTTAATTGAGTAACATTATTTTACGATTATTGTATAATAACTTCCTCAAGCAATTAAAAGCATATTTTATATTATTTAGTATACTACTTGTAATTATATAAAGCTGAAGAATATATTTGTTTGAACACTTTAATCTCCAGAACTGCTGCCCAATTTGAATAATTTGTTTTGTGTTCAATAGTGCATTTAATGAGCAAGGCTATAGTATATAACATCATGCTACGATCAATAGGAGCGGAGCAGATCGGGTGAAA